TTCATTATAACATTAGTGACTCTTGTATATATACTTTTCTCCCTAATTTTATTCAATTCTAACTTTAGTTCACTCTCTTTCTATATATATTTATTTATATATATATATGTTGTTCAAATTTTCAATCGTTAATAAAATACTTTTTATTCATCCATTCAAGTTCAAATACATTTTTTAACTTGTAGTGGATGACACTTGATGTTAATACAATTTTTTTTTCAAATATTAATTCATTAAATAAATTTTATTTCTTAATTTTAAATTTATTCTGTGTTATTTCTGTGTGACGAAGTTAGATTTATCTTCAAAAGGCACCAGTCGGTTTTTTTAACGATGGAGGAACTGACTTAATTTTTTTTATATTACTTGTTTCTGATATATATAAACACATTCGTGTCATCCTATTAATAACAGAGTGAAAACAATAATAGCAATTAAAATATATCCTTAATAAATATGTAACAAAACATAGATTGATTGGTTATATGTGAGGAAACTTGTCTTAAATAGGGTTTCTTAAGGTATGGACAACTGGGCATGAGGCAAAGGTCTGGGACTAGCCCCTGGAGGAGAGGGGGGGATTCGTCTCGTTCTCGGCTCAGCATCAGTAAAATCATAATCGTAATAATTTTAATCATATAATGTTATTCCCTGACACATTTCCGAAAAACAGAGAAATCGTAGAATGACTCAATCACGTTTGAATAATTTAAGCTTGATGAGTATAAAAAATTAAATATTGTAAACAGTTGATTTTGACGAGATAATTAATGATCTTGCAAAGAAAGCGAATTTTCTATTAAAATTTCATTTTGTTATGGATTGAATTTGTTGAACTTTGGATGTATAGGCTCAAATTCGGTAAATGGGACACAGAGGGAGTCTGCTTTTGCATAGGGGCGCAGGGCATCAAGAATTAAGACATCTCTGATCTTAGACGAATGGAAGAAAAGAAGAACTCTGCTAAAAAAAGAATATACACCGAACTCTTTTTCACGGTAAATACGATTCTTAAGCAAATGATGTGTGGATTTGCACAGATGTGAAGTACCTTGGCAGGAACGTTTATTTGAACCTTCGTGCTACTAACCCATAGCTACGCTGTGCATGTCTTAGACTAGTGGTCTCCAACCCCGGTCCGTGGATCAAATACTACTGGTTCGCACAAGAGAAACATTAAATTATTTCCATTTTATTTACTGCGGAATATTTTTCTTGGGTTTGATGCACTTTTTACAATCCAAAATATAACAATCAACGTCCTCTCCCTCAGCGGGCCGCGGTAAAATTATCCAACGTCGACTGGTCCGCGGCGATAAAAAGGTTGGGGAACACTATCTTAGACCAGTGCTCCGCAACCTTTTTATCGCTGCGGACCGGTAAACTTTTGATAATTTTACCGTGGACCGCAAAGGGTGGGATACGTTGATTGTATATATTTTAGATTGTTTTGATTTAACAATTTTAATTTAGTTACATTTAAATTTGCCTTCAGAATAAAATATAGTTACACCAAAAATGAATAAAAGTGATTTAACGTGGAATATAAAGTGATTTCCGTGGAAAGTTGCGCAAATCCTAGAAAAATGCACCACTTTAAATGATTGATTGATTGATATTAACGTCGCACTGTTCAGCTACACGAGGGCTTTTGGCGACGGACCACGCAATTTTGAATCATGGTCAAATAACGTGGACGACACCTGAGCTGGCACCCCCCTCTCCTAACTACCACACCACACCAACGGGAGGACGTTTCAGCTCTCGACAGATTTAACGTGCATCGCTGCCCTACACGGCGGGTCTTTAGTGGTACTGGGCTCGAACTCGTGACAAAGCAAGCCACGGTCCGATACCTATACCACTTGGCTACCGCGGACACGCACCACTTTAAATAGAATGGAAATAGTTTAATGTTCTTTAGGCGGCCCAGCACCATTTGATCCACGGACCGGGAGTTGTGGATCACTGCCTTAGACGACTGGGACGAAAAGGAATCCTTAGTCGGGTCAGTCGATAAGGGCTTTTATTCCAGTCTTTTTGTTGTTTGCGACTTGCAGAAGAAGGGCCCGCTGCATATCTCTTTCCTAAAGAAGAAAGTTGTTTTTTTGCTTTTGATTGACTTTCTGTACGATACTTAGAACAGGTTGTTTTTACAGTCAATACTGCAATTGTTATTCATTTCCTGTTAGTTTGAATGTCATTGGAACGTTTTTCGTTGATGTCGTAAGCAGTCTCTTGTTGAGATGACAGGTCTATATGACGCGTACGCCGTTGTCGCTTGAACCACTATCCCTGATTTTTTTTTGGGAATGTCTTACTTTTTTGATTCTCAATGGAACTGAATGTATAATCAGCTAGTAGCATTAGGCTGGGCTGCCATTTTGTGTTCAATTCCTGGGTCACCACTGAAAAAAATTGGCAGGGGTGTTTATTTGAACCACCGATCATCAACTCCACAGTTATTCCGTGCATGCCTTAGACCAGTGCTCCGCAACCTTTTTATCACTGCGGTCCGGTCAACGTTTCATAATTTTACCACTGCCCGTTGAGGGTGTGGCACGTTGCTTGTTTATATTTTAGATTGTTTTGATTTGAAAATTTTAATTTAGTTACATTTAAATATGCCTTCAGAATAAAATATAGTTACACCAAAAATGAATAAAAGTGATTTAACGTGGATATAAAGTGATTTAACGTGGAATATAAAGTGATTTAACGTGGAATATAAAGTGATTTAACGTGGAATATAAAGTGATTTAACGTGGAATATAAAGTGATTTCCGTGGAAAGTTGCGCAAATCTGAGAGAAATGCACCACTTTAAATAAAACGACAATAGTTTAATGTTCTTTAGGTGGCCCGACACCATTTGATCCGCGGACCGGGGGTTGCGGATCACTGCCTTAGACGACTGGGACGAAAAGAAATGAAACCCTGGTCGGGCAGTCGTTAAAGGCTTCTACTGTTTCTTTGCTGTTTGTGACTTGCGGAAGAATTTAATATTTATATATACACATTCAACATAAACATTTATATACATTTAACATATTTATAAATATAAGATTAATTTTAAATTCTTACATGTTTTAATTAATAACTAAAGTAAAATTAAGAACCCATCCAAATTCCTCATGAGAGAAAGAAAATTCTGAACTACAAATACAGTAGTAAATAACATGAATTAATCATTCATCACTATACTTGATAATTGAATTTTCTCACCACGAGATGAATCACAATGGCTGCCCTCACGAGGGAAATCTACCACATCGAATCTGCAAATCGAATGAAGATTTTCTACTAATAATTAAGTTTTGAATAGATAATCATGCTTCTAAAATATATTGCGACATTTTTAATACAAATCTGATACACTTTTTTGCTCTTTAAGTTTTGGAAGTCCTTTATTCGGTTGGGAAGGAGGGAGGGCCTAAGCTTAACAAACTGTCAAAGCTTGTCACATTTTGCTTTACGTATGAATCAATTTATAAAAAAAGAAGAAGAAACCGATTTCCTAGACCTTGCACGTATTAAAAATATACAGAATTTATAAACATGGACAGTTAAATGATGAATATGCTCTCCTCAGTAGTAGTAGTGGGATGAATGGATGTGTCCCTACCACTCTCCATATCAACTGCCGCTGCGATAATGGTTCCAGATTGAAACGACTCTCATTGGAAAAGAAGACGGGAGATGTCCATTTCCTACTATTACTTCACTCTCTCCCTATATCTATATATATAAACATAACTCAGTGGCGCAACAGCCCACGAGAGACGAGGCCTACTGTGCTCAACACAGTATACGCGACCTAGAATCCTTAGATGCATGATCAGATGTTCCGGTCAGGTGGTCAGTCTGACGCGAACCCCCCAGTGTTAAGTTCCCAAGCAAGCTTGCTACTCATTTACCGACCCACTGATGGGATGAAAGGCTGAGTCGACCTTGCCCAGCCCGAGGATAGAACCTCGAAACTGAGGTGTGAAAGTGCGGTCCACTAACCACTCAGTTATAAATAAACAGTTACTTTTTTCTTTGACAAACAAAGAAAATGAATACATTTTTTGTTCAATCTTACATGATTATAAAACTTTGAGTTCATTATAACTAAAGACGTTTATTAGGCAGATACTACACAGAGAGGTGAAAGCCTTCACCCGGATTGTTTTATTCAGCGGAATTATTAGGACGAACGTATGGAGAACGCATATCAGATATCATGGACAATTCAACTTTTAATTAGCATCAGCTCTTTTTAACTTTTGTTCTCTCTCTCTGCGGGGAAATTATTATTCCTTATTATTCTTGACACAAACACACTCGCACATGCACGCACACGCACTGCAGAGTTCACCTGTGAATATTCTTGTTTTTTTTATAAAATTTCTTTGTTATTCAATAATTTTTATAGTATCTTAAATTTTAACTGGGGAAGAAAACCGTAGGAAAAGAAAGAAGGAATTTGAAAGGAAAAAAACTCTTCTCTCTCTTTTCACATACTTTTTTTTTCTTAATATAATTTATATATATGATATGTTTAATATTTTTTATTCCTTTACTTGAGATTAGCATTTTTACATAGTTGTAGTATTATCCGCACATAACAGATGAGAACGAAGTTCATTTAGAGGTTGTAATATTTCTTTTTTAGAAACGATTGCTTCCGTTTTCAGATTTTCTCACATTAATACTAATAAGTAGTATAAAAAAAAATTAAGTCAATTCCTACTTAGGTCAACAAAGAAAATTTTTATTTTAGTTACTTTTTTATTAAATATAGTTATAATTACATATAATATAAATATGTATCTACATATGACAGAATCAGTATTAAGTGGCCAAATAGAAAGATATTTTCCTTGCAATTTTCCATTTTCCTATCTATATATGGTGTTGGACTATTATTTTTGTTTGTTACTATTTATTCATTAATTAAATTTAATCATTCCAATAAAATAGTACAGTAAAAAGAAATCACATTCTCAGAAATTTGGCCATTCCAGGTGGTAATTAAACCCACGACCTTTGGATTAAAAATCCAACGCGCTGTCCCTTACGCTACTGGGACACTATGAGCGCGACTTTCCTTTTTATATATGGTGTTGGACAATTATTTTTGCTTGTTACAATTTATTAATTAATTAAATAGAACTAATGAATTAATATTTGAAAAAACTGTATTAACATCAAGTGTCATCCACTACAAGCTTAAAAAAATATATTTGAATTTGAGTGGATGAATGTGAAAAGTATTTTATTAACGAGATTGAAAATTTTAACTATATATATATACGGAGAGTGTGAACTAAAATAGTAGGAATTGAAAAAAGGGTATTTTCTTTAACATACACTGAGTGGCCGCGGTAGCCGAGTGGTATAGGTATCGGACTGTGGCTTGCTTTGTCACGGGTTCGAGCCCAGTATCACTAAAGACCCGCCGTGTAGGGCAGCGATGCACGTTAAATCTGTCGAGAGCTGAAACGTCCTCCCGTTGGTGTGGTGTGGTAGTTAGGAGAGGGGGGTGCCAGCTCAGGTGTCGTCCACGTCACTTGACCATGGTTCAAAATTACGTGGTCCGTCGCCAAAAGCCCTCGTGTAGCTGAACAGTGCGACGTTAATATTCAATCAATCAATTAACATACACTGATATTTATGGGAAAAAAATAACATCTCATTAAAAACTTTGGAATCCATAATTTTTCCATTCAAGTGGTAAATTCAGGTGTGTCGAAGCTTTGATTATCTGTAGTTCTAGTTCCATTTAATTGTATATAGAGTTAAACCTAACATGTACTGTTTACAAATGAGAGTAGAGCTTGTGAGAATCCTTTTTTTGTGTAAGTTTAAAAATACATTTTTTGAAAATAATTTTTGGATGACTTTTGTAATATGTTTCGCACAGTTATAAGTATATTTCATTTTTTTAGGGAAAAAAAATGTTAGGAGAAGGTTAAATTTTTTTTGTAAGGTTATACTAATGCGACGAAAGGTCTTGAAGTAGTTTGAAGTATGAAGAATCAATCTGTGAAAAAAAAAAAGTCTTGGAATTCTGAATTTGGAAAGGGTAAAACATAGTTCTTAAAACCAGTTTTCTCTTGTTTTTATGTTTTAACTTTCTATGCAGTTGAAATCGTAATTTTCCAAGAATATTTTTTGTCAGGAAGGTATTTGATCTTTTTTAGGGAAGTTAATGGTTTTTATACGTATGTACTAAAAAAATCTTTTGTCGCCTTTCTGAAAACAAATTACATTTAAAGTTGGGAGGCAATAGATATAATACATAGGGGTAAGATATTTCTACGCTTTATATTTGTAAGTTGTATTGATCAAAAGCAATCATTGAAAATTTGAATCAAAATGTTTTTGTTTTAAAAAAAAAAATATTTCTTTAGAACAATCGATTCATGAAAAACTTTTTTTGTGTTTTTATATAATCAATCACTTTAATTTTTCAATGAATACTGTCTTTTTGCAGTATTTAAGTAATTCTTGATTAGTTTATTTATATCTACGAAAAACCCATTGTTTCAATAAATTCTTGACAGGTTGTTTTTGTAAAAATCTTGTGAACTTTCACAGTTCACTGGTGAATCAGGTTACATTCTTAAGCAGTATCTTTTCACATTCTTGGATATAAATAAGTAATACTTTTTTTTTTTTTTTTTTTGAGTAAACGTATTGTATTTACTTTGCTCTCTCTTCTATGATATTTAGCACGACTCTAAAAAAGCAAGCTCTAGCAAAAATTAGAAAACTATGATGCGCATTTTAAATTCAAAGTGAGAGGTATCTTGTTTTAGGACACACAAACATCTTTTTCAGTTCCTATACTCTTAGTTCACTCTCTCTCCCTATATATATATATATTTACATATCTTGTTCAAATTTTCACACAATCGTTAATAAAATACTTTCTATTCAACCATTCACACGTTCAAATACATTTTTTAAAACTTGTAATGGATGACACTTGATGTTAATACAGTTTTTTCAAATATTAATTTATTAATTAAATTAAAAAATGAATAAATAGTATCAAGCAAAAATAATAGTCCAACAGTATATATAGAAAGGAAAATCATTCGTTGCGTCCCCGTCGCGCAGTGGATAGCGCGTTGGGCTTCTAATGCAAAGGTCGTGGGTTTGAATCCCACCCGGGATGGCCTAATTTTCTGAGTATGTGACTTCTTTTTTTATTACAATAACTGAATTTAATTATAATGAATAAATAGTAACAAACAAAAAAATAGTCCAACACCATATATAGAAAGAAAAATGGAAATTCGCTTTCTATTTTGCCACTTAATAGTGTGGTTCTGTCATATGTATATACATATTTTTTATATTTATAGTAACTAACATAATTAAAAGTAACTAAAATAAAGTTTTTCTTTGTTGACCTATATATATAAGTAGGAATTGGCTTTAAAGAATTTTTTCTTATATTACTTGTTATTACCTACAGGGAAATACGTTCAACACGAAAGAGCTTAAAACGAAATATCGGATAACACGAAATAATACAACGATCCCGACAAACTACTAAGTATTTTCATGCATTTTTCTCTTAACACGAGACAAAAATCGCTTAAAACGAAAAGATTTTCCTTCTGCAGAATGCGGAAAATACCAGGTTTTTAATGAAATGTTTGTGCAAGTTTCTGTATTATACGACTCCCCTACTGTATCATGGAAAAAAATTCGTTGCAGCACATAATGATAATGTATGTACAGCCTCAATTATGGCAGACAAAAACATTTTGGAGTGTGTTCAAAGCTCAAAACAAGTCATCAATGCAGATTCTGACGATGAAAATGAAATGAATAATGCAGCTCCGCGCGGTTCCCATGTCATCCGAAATGAGGAACATCATGAAAAGCATGCGCTGTTATTTAGAAGCACATTTCAGTGGTAAAATGAATAAAAAATGGACGACATCGAACAATTTATTGACAGTTTGATGCTAAAAGGAACAATGCAAAGGAAAATATCAGATTATTTTCCAAAAACTCAATAAATGTTTTATTTTTCAAAAAAACTTTTGAATTTTTTTTATTAAATTTCATTAAGTTCTTGTGAATGTTTTTTTCCATTCATTTTTATTAAATAGATGATGCATATATACACATCTATGTAAATAAAATGTACTCTAATAAACTTAAATTTGTTGAACATATGGTTTTTTTTTGCAGTATCCTTTAACATGAAGTTCTTTTAACACGAAAAAATATTCCAGTCTCCTCAGTTTTGTGTTAAACGATTTTCACCGTGTCTCTCCTGTTTGTTATCGGCCGCGACAGCCTAGTGGTTATGGTCATGAACTCGTGGACGATGTGCCACGGTTTGGAATCCTGGTGGCCGCGGTAGCCGAGTGGTACAGGTTTCGGATTGTGGCTTGCCTTGTTACGAGTTCGAGCCCAGTACCACTAAAGACCCGCCGTGTAGAGCAGCGTTAAATCTGTGGAGAGCTCAAACGTCCTCCCGTTGGTATGGTGTGGTAGTTAGGAAAGGGGAGTGCCAGCTCAGGTGTCGTCCACGTCACTTGACCATGGTTCAAAATTAGTGGTCCGTCGCCAAAAGTCCTCGTGTAGCTGAAGAGTGCAACGTTAATATTCAAACAATCAACAATCATTGGAATCCTGGTACCACTGAAGATCTGTCGTGCATAAGGGCTGATGTACATTAAATTGTCGATGCTCAAACATCTTTTCTTTGGTGTGGTGTGGAAGTTAGTAGAGGGGTGTGCAGCTCAGGTGTCGTCCTCGTCACTTGCCATTGGTTAAAAGTTACGGGGTCCGTCACCAAAAGCCCTCGAGTAGCCGAACAGTGCGACGTTAGCATTCACTTGTTCGCACATTAAGTTTCTTGAGGCTCAAAATTCTCTCATTGGAGTAGTTTGGAGAGGGGTGGCAGCTCAAAGGTCGTTCTCGTCACTTGACCGTGGTGCAGAATTACGACGTCCGTCACCAATAGCCCTCGAGTTGCTTTATTGTACGACGTTAATAAACACACGCTCTCCTTTTTTTTCGCCTTTTTTTATAAGAATACAATTAACATTTCAGTTTTTTGTATTTTGGGTTGTGGCAACGTAGCAGATATAATTTCAGGAGCTTCTCGTTGATGAAATCCACTCATGGTTCGAGTCCTGATTCTATCATCGTTGATATAGCAAGGAATGGCAGATGACTTACTAAGTATTAACGTTGAGTTTTATTATTTATTGTATATTTTTCTGTAGTCTATAGATTGTATCATGTGAACAAGGTTCGGATTCATTGTTGATTAACATCGAACTATATGACACAACAGATGACTATCGGCAACAAAGCTCGTAATCCTAAGCCACAGTCAAATGGGGAGAACGACACCTAAGCTGGTATCCCTCTTTCCAATCCCTCCCACACAATGCCAACGGGAAGAATTAATGCTTAGACAGATTTAACGTGCATGAGCCTCTCTACACGGCGGATCTTTGGTGACCCAAGGATTCGAACACAACGCTTGCCACAAGCTCATGACAGTGACTACTCGAACATCGCTACCGTCAGTTAAATATGGAGGCAATATTGTAAAAAAGTATCTCCTACTGCTTTCAGAACTGAGGTTTTGAAAATGCGCATAAATGAATAATTTACTTGATGTTTAGTTTCCCTTGAATTAAAATATACGTTTAAATGGTTTTAAAAATCTTATAATAAAATTTTTTTAATGCAATTTTTTTTTTTGAAAAATATGATAATATTCTCCTTTTATGGCAAAAATGTTTCTATAATAATATTTTGTCCACTTATTACTAAGGATTCTCTACAGAGAGGGGATAATATAGTCTTTGTTGCTCTATATCCCTTAAAACCTGAACTGATTCTCTACAGAAACTGAAACAGGATTTTTGAAGAATTCCCCTTTTTTGTTCAGAGTTAATATCAATCAAAATAATAACCACAGTTTTTTTTTTCTGTTCAAATTTCTCTACACTCTGATACGTTAAAATATGAGAATAAATCCACTTCTAAAATATATTTATATATATATATATATATATATAAAACTCTAGTTTAGGCTCTGTG